TCTGGGTGTTGGCAGTTTAGGAAGAATGTTAATAAGCTGGTGAGAGGCCAGAGGAAAGTGACCAGGATTTATAAAGGGCCTCTAGATCATAGCAAAGGGGTTTAATGAAAGGAACTGGGAATATTTAGCCCAGAGAAAAGAAGACTCAGGGGCACCATAACATCTGACTTAAGTATTTGAAAGGCAGTGATGTGCAACCTTCTCTGTCTGAATCCAGAAAGCTGGACTAGAAGTAATTGGTGTAAGTTGCAAAGAGAAATATTTCTGCTTGAAATCAGGTTCTAACTACCAGAGCTATCCCGAAGTGGAGTGGCTGAGAGGTAGTGAGCTCCCCATCTTTGGAAGTCTTCCAGCTGAGGCTGAATGACCACTCATTGGGGGCATTGTGAAAGAAAATCCTTTCAGATATGGGTTAGATGGTGCCTCTAAGGTCCCTTCCAACTTTGAAATTCAATCAATTCAGGATGGATTGGAGGGGAAGAGACATGGAGGCAAGGAGGTTCATTTCAGAGGCTATTGAAACAAGTTAGGCAAGTAAGAATGACTGTCTGATTTGGGGGTGGGGGATGGGAATGGGAATGGGAATGCACAGGGATGAATATGAAGGCCACAGTGAAGGAAAGGTCTCTAGGGCTTGGGGGGAGGAAAGGAAGAAGAGGGAATCAAGGGTGACTCCAGGATTCTGAGCCTGAGAAATCATAATCATACTAGTTAGCAAACCTCTCATCCCTGGAGCATGTTAAGGTTTGCCATTTTGTTTTTAATTAAAATTTTTTGATAATTTTTATTTTTCAATTACCTTCTCCAAATACAAGTTTTACCAAATGTCTTAGTGCAGTTTTAATTTATTAAAGATTTAAGGGAAGTGGGAAGGAAAAAAGCACTTATATAGTCCCTATTATGTGCTAAGTGGTTTTTACAAATATTATCTCATTTGATCCTCAGACAACCATGGGAGGTAGGTGCTATTACTATTAGATTATTAATTACAGTTAAGGAAACTAAGGCATACAGAGGTGATTTGTCCAGGGTCACACAGTGTCTGAAGCTGGATTTGAACTCATGTCTTTCTGCCTCCAGGCCCAGCTTGAAGCTTTAATATATTAATAAAGGATATATTAAATATATCTCATCTGCCTCTCCTTCCCAGAGAGATATTTCTTATATGAAAGAATGAAAGAGAAAAAAAATAAATCAAGCAGTTCATTGAAAATACCCAATACACCAGCTTCATCTGACAGTATATTTAGCATTCCACACCCTTAGTCCCCAACCTCTGCAAAAGAAGTAAGAGAGGTACACTTAGAAGAAAAAAAATCACATCTTCAGGGCTAGGCTCTAAGGCTTCCAAAGCCTGTTCCTCCCAATATCCTATGATGTAGGTAGTGCAAGCATCATCATCCCCATTCTAAAGATGAGGAAATTGAAGCTCCAGTAGGTAATGTGATGAACTTCCAATCACACTGCTAGCATTTGCTGAAGGCAGGATTTGATCCCAGGTTTCCTGTGATCTCTCCATTACTTCTCCTTAGAAGAAAACTGACAGAAAGCACCAATGAATCACAAGACTTGGGAGCTGGAAAGGAGCTCAGAGAGCATTAAAGGCAGCTCCCTTAATTTACAGAAGAGGAAACAGCCCCAGAGAGGGGAAGTAACTTACCTAAGGGCATACAGCCAAGCAATCAACAGGCATTTATTAAGCACCTACTATGTGCCAGGCCCTGTGACAATAAATGAAGACAATAAAGGAACCAAGCCCTACTCACAAGGATGTTACAATCTAACAGGGCAGACAAACAGGACAGATGGAAGTGTATTTAGAATAGCTGTGAAGAGAGTAATTACAAGCATACACAAAGTAGTTAATGACAAGGTAGTTGAGAGAGAAGCATTTGTGGGAGTCAGGAAAAGCTTCACAAAGAAGGCAGTGCTTGAAGTGAGTCTTGAAGGAAGAGGGAGATTCTATGAGGCGGAGGTGAGGGGCGGGGAGTGCATTCCAGGGAGGGGCCTGAGCCAGTACAAAGGCCTGGAGGAGGAGATGGAGTATTGTGCATAAGGGACAGAGAAAAGGCCATTTTGGCTGGATAGTGGGTATGAGCCAGGGAGTGAGGTCTAATGAGGCTGGAAAGGGAGGTTGGGGTCAGGTCATGAAGAACTCTAAAATCCCAACAGAGGAGTTACATTTGATCTGATTGGAGAGGAACATGGCCAGATCTATGATTAAGGAGAATTTGGGAAGGATAGACTAGGGAGAGATGAAATTGGGAGGCCATTTAGGAGGCTGTTATAGTAATCTTGATGATGACCTGAACTAGGGTGGTAGCTGTGTGAGTAGAGAGAAGAGGTTGCATATGGGAGATGATTTTGTTGTTGAGTTTTTTCAGATGTTTCTGACTTTCTGTGACTGCATGTGAATTTTTTTTTGGCAAAGATACTGGAGTAGGTTTGCCGTTTCCTTCTCCAGCTCATTTGACAGATAAGGAGATTGAGGCAAACAAGGTGAAGTGATATGCCCAGGCTCACATAGCTAGGAAGTGTCTGAGACTGGATTTGAACTCAGGAAGATAAGTTTTCCTGACTCCAGGCTCAGCACTCTATGCACTGAGCCATCTGGCTGCCCTTGAGAAATGTTACAGACATAAAATGGCAAGATTTGGCAATAACTGGACACGAAGAGTGAAGGAGAGTGAGGGTAATGTCAAAGTTACACACCCTGGAGACTGGAAGAATGGTAGATTACCAAGTACATGAGGAGTGGTGGCCAGAGAAGAAGTTTTGGTTTGGGAGTTACTGGGGTGCTAAATGGAGCCATAGAGTTGTCTCTTGGTCACACCCTTTCCAGGAACAATAGTAATACACGTTGTAATTGGTTCCAGCCCAATGGAAATATGCAGTAGCAATACAAGTAATGAGACCATTATTTGAATTCCATTGAAACTGCTCCCTACAAAGTTACTAATGGTATCTTAGTTGCCTAGTCCAGTGACCTTTGATCAATCCTCATTCTCCTTGACTTCTCTGCAGCCTTTAACACTGTTGATCATCCTTTTCTTGAAACTCATATCTTTACCCTTTCAGGCACCACTCTCTCCTGGTTCTCCTCCTACTCTCTGACTACCCTTTCTTTGTCTCCTTTGCTGGATCCTCATCCAGGTCATACTCACTAACTGTGGGTGTCCCCCAGGGCTGTCATGGGCACTCTTCTCTTCTCCCTCTACACTACTTCACTTGGTGATTTCATCATGGATTGCATTATCATCTCTATACTGATGATTCTCAAATCTATCTTTCCTGCCCCAACCCCTCTACTGACCTCCAGTTTCTCATTTCCAACTGCCTTTCAGACATCTTGAATGGGATGTCTGGGAGACATCTTAAATTCAGCATGTCCTAAACCAAACTCATTATCTTTTCCCCCAAATCCTCTCCTCCTCCTAACTTTCTTGTTACTGCCAGGGCAACATCCTCCTCCTGATCCATCATGCTGGAAACTTAGGAGTCATCCTGGATTCTTCACTATCTCTCACCCTCTCCAGCATATCAGATCTTTTGTTAAGGTTTCTCAATTTTCCTTTTGCAGCATCTGTCAAATGAGCTCCATGCTAGAATTATTGCAATAGCTTCTGGTGATGGGGGAGCGAGATGGTCTATCTGCCTCAAGTTTCTCCCCATGCCACTCCATCCTCCCTTCAGCCACTGAAGGGATTTCCTAAAGCACAGGTTTGGCCATGTTATCCCATCATTCCCCTACCCCCTCCCACCCAATTAACTCCAGAGGCTCCCTCTTGTCTCCAGAATCAAATAAGAAATCCTTTCCTTGCCATTCCAAGTCCTTTGTTATCTAGCCCTCTTCTACCATCCCAGTGTTCTTACTCCTTACTCCCCAATACATGCTCTTTGAGCCAGTGACACTGACTTCCAGTGACACCAGACCCTCCATTTCTTGGCTCTGACTGTCCCCCATGGCTGGAACACTCTTCTCCTCATCTCCAATTACTGGCTTCCCTGGATTCCTTCAAGTCTCAACTAAAATCCCATCTTTTACAGGCAGCCCTTCCCGACTCTTCTTAATTCTAGTGTCTTCCCTTTGTTAATTATTTCCTATTTACCTAGTACATATTTGCTTGTTTGCATATATTTATTTGCATGTTGTCTCTCCCATTAGATTGTAAGCTCCTTGTGGTCAGAGACTGTCTTTTTGCCCCTTTTTGTATCCCAAGTGCTTAGCATAGTGCCTGGCACATAGGTGCTTAATAAATATTTATTGACTGATTAACTTGATGGGTCCTGAGTGTATTGATTTGATGATGGTTCTCAGAGGTGGGAAGGTGGGAGAGTGTGTGGTGCTGATACATTTGGCAGTAAGGTAGCAGGAGTGAACCACATGGTCTGGGGAGTCAGGGAGCTCCCATAAGGTGGGTACTGCAGTACTCCTTAGAGACCATCTCATCCAACTTTGTAATTTTTCAGAAGAGGGAGGTGAGGCTCAGAGAGGGGAACACAAGATCCTGCCATAATGTTGTGGCAGAGTAGAACCTAGAACTTGGTGTGCTTGTGCTCTCCACAAACCATGCAACTTATCACTTAAAATAAAGACAGCTTGGTTTTGTTCCCTGTTTCACACTCATGAGTCTTCTCTTCCCAATGAGATCATGAGTTGCTTGGGGGCTTCTGCTACAGCCTCCATGGCCTCACCAAGCCTAGGGCTGGACACAGTGGGTGGTGCTAAGGAAGCACAGATTTTCTGATTTATTGTCTTCTGTCTGGCTCCTCCCTGCTCCCCTTCTCCCTGCCCTGTTCATAGCTCTCATCAGCATCATCTGAGAGTTCTCATCCAGGTTAGGACCTAGGGTCCTGATTTAGCCCTGCTTTGGCCAGGTCCTCTCTCTCTTTCATGTCTCCTGATGGTGGCCAGAGCTCCAGTGAATGAATCTGTCATGAGATGAACTCCAAGAGTCCAGCATGAGGGATTCTGACCTTGCCTTATCATTTGCTTCCAGATCGGTGCCTCTCTCTTTGCCAGTAACATTGGCAGTGGCCACTTTGTGGGGTTGGCCGGGACTGGAGCAGCAGCAGGCATCGCCACAGGAGGCTTTGAATGGAATGTGAGTACAAGACATGGAATGTTGGAGTAGGAGGAACAGCTCCAGATAGAGTGTAGAAAATGCTGGAGCCTAGAGGGCCTTAGAACATGGATGCCAGAGCTGGGAAGGGTTTTAGAACAGGGAAGGTCAGGGCTGGGAGGGCCCCTAGAACAGAGAATGTCAGAGTTGGGAAGGGGACTTATTTAGGCCAAGTTCCTCATTTTACAGAGGAGCAAATTAAGGCACAGAAAGAAGAAATGACTTGGCACATGCCATGTAGCAAATTTGCAGTGTTAACATGGCTCCTTCTATCTTCCTTTCTGACTCGACAAACCTACCCTATCAGTTCTTGTCAGTGATGTGGCCCTTTCCTCATTAAACATTTTTCATTAGATTATCTTTGAAAGGCAAGGATGTAGTATCCACTGAGAATGTGGAACCTTCTGAGTCCTTCTGCATTGCCCACCAAGTCCTGTTCCCATCAGGGACATTGAATGGGGAGTCCTCCAGCCTATATGTGCTGTCCAAGAAATTCTATCCCTAAACTTCTTTATGGTCAAAGGGAAGGAAAGGTTGAATGATATTGTACTGGATGCCAAAAGTCATCTCAGGGTCATCTATTGACCTATTTTAGTTGAAACCCTCTAGGGTCATTGGATTTTCAGGTAATGCATAGGCCAAGATGGGAGACAGATTATGTTGTTTTCTAAAGAATTCCTTCTTGGTTTCAGGCCCTGGTGCTTGTGGTTGTCCTGGGCTGGGTGTTTGTGCCAATCTACATTAAGGCTGGGGTGAGTATTTGCACTCTACTACTTGATTACCTACCTGCAAGTGTTGAAGGTGTGCTGATAGAATCTTGGGAAACACAGTTGACTTTTCCCAGTGATAGAGAAAGCTTAGCTTCTGGTCTTTGACCCTGAGTTCCCAAGATATTGATTGGCCTAGAACTACAAGACTTCATTGATGGAAAGGACCTCAGAACTCATACAGTCCATCTTCTACCTGGATGAGAATTCCATCACACCTGATAAGTGTTCATCTGGTGTCAGCATGGGGGAAGCTACAAATTAGTGAGAAAGTGTTTGTGTGGGCATGAGAGAGGTGGTCTGCCCACAGGTGAGCTTGTGAATGCATGCAACAGTTTAATGTTTATGTGTATATGTGGAAATGTGTGGGAGGGTGTGCCTACAAGTGTGAATGTGTGTGAGTGTGGAGGTGTTCACCTCCAGTTGTGTTGATGTTTCAATGTGTGTAAGTGTGCACCTACGTGCTGGTTTTGGAATTTTTGCCTGTGTCTGAGAGATTCTGGGCACGTGCTTGAAAGTAGGAGTGTAAATGTGCGTGAGATGCCTGATACAACTTTCCTTTCTAAAACTTGACTGCTGTCCTTTCTCTTCTCTTACCAAATGCTTAGTTGCTTCACCCATTTGTTTTAGTTTCCAGTTGTACTTGTCTCACCACCTGCCTTCTCCTTTCCTTGTGTTCTGCTCTTCAGGACCTTTTTTCCTTAATCCTTTTCTTCTTTCACACTGATCCCTCCAATTCCTTTCATATAGGTTGCTCTCTTTTGGCCCAGTCTCCAGTTGTCTCAAATTTCTCCTTCCCAAATTCAATCCCTGGTCTTCATCACAAGTCTAATCCCCTTCAGATCGTAATTTCCATTTTCTGCTTCTTCAGCATAAGCCTTTCTCTCTTCTTCTGCTCCTCTCACAGAAGCTGGAAGTGGTTATTGTGTGATTGTGGGAATATGTATATAAAACACTTTGCTCTTCAGGGTTCAGAATGTACTCCCAATTATGCACCTGAAGAAACTTGTTTCTTTATTATATTATCTTTATTATTTATATATAATATATCATCTTTGTTATTGATATGTAAATAGCCCACTGGGAATCCTCAGTCTTAGACAAAGAAGTCAGAATTGACTCTATCCCAGCCATGACTAAACTGGGGCCTGGGAACTCAGAATTAAGGATTGATGCCATCTTCAACAAGGGGAGTTTCCTGTCTTTTAGACTTCTATGTGACCTGTCTAGTACTGATCTTATATTGTGCATACATTACAGGTGGTGACAATGCCAGAATACCTGAGGAAGCGATTTGGTGGGACACGCATACAGATCTATCTGTCTCTCCTTTCTTTGTTGCTTTACATTTTTACCAAGATCTCGGTGAGTTCCTCTCCCCTGACTATCCATTTCAGTGAATGTCTTTGCTTTAAGCTAATTGTATCCTTTGGCTGATGATAATTAAATTAAACACACTGGTGGGGGCTCATGAGCTATACAATTTAGAAATGCAGACCCACAAGGTTCTTTTGACCTGGGGAGTCCCAGAATCATTGATGATACCACAACCTTGTGATATTTCCTCCACTCTCCTTCTTTTCCTTCCCCTCCTTCCCATTCCTCTTCCTTAATAATTTCAATTTCAAGAACACAGCAAGATTTACAAAGTGCTTTCTCCATGACAACCCCTTAATGCGAGAATTGTTGTGCCTGTATGCTGCTGAGAAAACTGAGTTCCAGGTGTCATGACTTCCCCATGGTCACACAGCTAAATTAATTTCTTCAAGTGGACCATGGGCATCAGTTGCTCAGGGATAAGTGTAGGATCTGGGCCTCCAACCCAAGTGTGATGGCTCCCATTATACTATGTTCTTACCTCTTCTGTAGGGAAGGGAAAGAAGGAATTTTGTCCAATGCCATGAACTGGGACTCAGCAAGATAAAGACATAAAATTCTTCCTTACACAGAGATAAGTAAATAGATAGAATTTATCATTCATTCATTCATCCATTCATTCATTCATTCATTCATCATCTCCTTGGAATGGTATAGGCTGAAAACATATTTGGAGACCAAAAGGATTTCCACCAATGCATGGATGAAGGATGTGTTCTTCTTTAGAATTTCAACAGATCTGTGTTTTTGTAGGTTGGAAGGTTTTCTCCAGCAATGCAGAAACCAACCCCTTCCAGTCTCACAGTTCAGCAAGCCCTTGGAGGTCATCTAGTCATCTAGCCCAAGCCTCTTATTTTTCTGATGAGAAAATAGAAGCTCAGAGCAATTGAATTGCTTGAAGCCTTCCAACCAGTAAATAGGGGAGGCAGGATTTGAATCCAGGTCCTTGGAGTTCCCTGTCCCTTATTACTGATCCTGATGAAACAGGGAGCAAGACAATATCAGTTTGAGATGGAGCTATAAAAGTAGTTGAGCGGTTTTTCTCAGGGATAGAGAATGAAATCTTCACAGCACATCTTCTACACACCTTCTCTGGCCTCTGTGCAAGTGTAATTCAAGTCAATCTTATCCAATTGAATTCAATTAAATAAATTACCAAGTGCCTAAAATGTGCACTCATCATAGGATCATACATCATTCAGTCAGTCAACAACATTTATTAAGGTCCTACTATGTGTCAGGCACTGTGCTAAGTACTGGGGATACAAAAAGAGCAAAAATCAGTCCCTGATCTCCAGGAGTTATAGCCTAATGGGAGAGACAACATGCATATATGGAAATATGGACATAAATAGAGAAAGTAAGGAGAGAAACTAGATCTGGACTCAGAACATGAAGGTTCAGATTTCTGTGCTTACTATCTCTATGGCCTTAGCCAGATCACTTCCCCTCTCTGGGGCTCAGTTTCCCCATCTGTAAAATGAAAGGGTTGGATATGATGGGCTCTCTTCCAGTAGGGACCTTCTACAAGGTAGTACGTGAATGGCTCTGGTCCAATCTGCTTGATGATGCGTGTGTAGCAATCACTTTGTAGGAGGGGAGCTGGGCTTAGTCCTTTCCTGGAACCACCAAGTCCACAGTTCAGCTGGTGATGAGGGGCTGTGAGTCACAGTTGCCATGGCAGACCACTCTTTGCCCTCTGAGCCTGTGCTTTGAATAATAATATAAATTAACCTAAAAGTACTAGCCTTTCTCACCTCCCTCCCTTCAACCCCTTGCCTCTGGTTACTGATTAAGCCGGCCTCACCCTGGAGCACCCCAACCACCTGTAGGGCTAGCCCAGGCTTGGATGTTACCGGAGGCTATGTGGATGCACATGGGTTTGTCCTCTTGGTTTGACATGGACTGAGATGCTAATGGGGCTGGCCTCAATGTGAGGGTGTAGGTGACTGCCTTCCCAGTGAGATTTCACAGAAAGCCAATCTCTGAGTTGGGAGGACCCTTAGACGCAACTAGTCCAACCCATACCTAAAGAACAATCCCCTCTGCCATACCCCTGACAACTGGTCACCCAACTCTTGCTTCCTCCCAGGGAAGCCACTTTTTTAAAAAAAAATAGTATTTTATTTTATTTTTTGCCAATTGTATGTAAAGACAATTTGTAGCATTCATTTTTACAGGATTTTGAGTTCCAAATTTTTTTTGCTCCCTCCCCTCTCCTCTTCCTAAAATGGTAAGTAATTTGATATAGGTTATCTGAGTCGAGGGCAGCCACTTTTAGTCAGTTTTTATTGCTAGGAAGCCTATCCTCATTTTGTTGTTGTTGTTGTTTCCAGTTATTTTTCTGTCTTGTTTCACTCTCTGAGACCCCATTTGGAGTTTGCTTGTCAGAGACACTGGAGTGGTTTACATTTCCTTCTCCAGCTCATTTTACAGTTGAGGAAACTGAGGCAAACAGGGTTAAGTGACTTGCCCAGTATCACACAGCTACTAAGTGTCTGAGGCCAGATTTGAACTCAGGAAGATGAATCTTCCTGACTCCAGCACTCTGTCCACTATGTCACCTCACTGCCCACATCAACCCTGTGATATTATTATTCTTATTATCACCTTTTTACAGATGAGGAGACTGAGGCTCAGAGATGAGAAGGGACTTGTCTAGGGTCACACAGCTAGTAAGTGTCTGAGGCAGGATTGGAATGTGGGACTTCTTGATTCCAGGCCTGCCCCTCAGTCCACTGCAGCACACTGCCTCCTGGATGTGGCTGTCCAGTGTGCAGGCATCCCTATGTCTGTGTGTGCAGCACACTCAAGGTGTCTAGCTAGCTTTTATGGCTGAAAATCAACTCTTCATTCTTTGAAGCCTTGATGCAATGTCTGGACCATTCATAAAAATATTGATTTGTTTGCCCTTGCAAAATATGGCATGAATGAGATGCTTAGCACAGTGCCTGACACATAATAGATGCTTAATAAATGCTTATGGACTGACTTATCGACCAAATCCCTGAATTGTCACAGCTTTCCCAGGGAGCATCCACACTAGTGGGTTCTTTCCTGTGGTGGAGGCACAGGTCACTGATGATTAAGCCTATAATTGTATCAATTGCATGTGATACTCAAATGACATTATTGATGCTTATTACAACTGTTATCAGTAATGACAACCACTATAAAGTTTTACAGTGTCTCTATTGAACTCTTTGGGTCCTCAGGTCACATATGTGAACTTTGACTCTTTTTTAGGCTATGTATTCATCTCCTGCCTGGGCTAAAGGGATGACCGTAGGAATGACAGTATTGGATTCCACAACTCAACTTCACAAGTACAAAATAGGAGATCTATGGCTGGATGGTAGTTTATCTGAAAAAGATCTGGGTATATGAGTAGACCACAAGTGCACTTTAAATTAATAGTGATATGGCTGCCAAAAAAGCTAATGTAACTGTAGGTTTTATTAAGAGAGGCAGAGTGTACAGGACTAGGGAAGTGATACTTACATACTATTCTACCTTCATCAGAACATATCTGGGTGACATATTTCAAGAAGGACATTGATAGACTGGAGAGGGTCCACAGGAGGGCAACTGGGAGAGTGAAGGATCTCAAGATCATGGAAAGAGTCAGGCACATTAGCTGTCTTAGAGCATTTGAAAGACTTTCATATAGAAGAGGGATAACTCTTGTACTATTTGACCTTGAAGAGCAGGACTGGGAATGGAAAAGTTTCAAAGAGACGAATTTAGGCTTGATATTAGAAAAAAACTTACTAACATTTTGAGGTATCCCAAAGTGCAATAAACTGCCTTGTAGGGGTAATGGACTTCCTGTCACTGAAGGTCTTCAATCAGAGACCAGAGACCTTGTTGGGGATGGTAGAGAGACGATTTCTCCTCAAGCCAGGTATTGAGGTAGATGGCGCCCTAGGTTTCTTTCTGTGATTCTGGGATCACATTTTTTCAGATGTGGAAATTAGGGCCCAGAGAACTTGAAACTACCTTCCCCTTTGTGGATCTTTAAGGGAGCAGACTAATCCAGTGTAACTTTAGCGGGGAAGAAGGAAGGACTAGGACCAGAGAAAAGTTAGAAAAAATGGCATTTTATAGAAGGAAGAATTTGAAAAATTGGAGCTGTCCAGCACGAGCTTCCTTTGGGAGCTCTTGGTCACTAGAGCTGTTCAGGAGGAGGATGAATGACTGTTAAATCTGGGTGGCACATCAAACTAGATGCTCCCTGAGTGAGATCCTATGATTCTACTGTATCATGGGAAGAAATCACGTTTCATAATGATTGGTTAAAAGAACTAGGGATGTTTTATCTTGGAGAAGAGAAGAGAAGGTGGGTTGAGTAGGAATACAACAGTTGTGTTAAAGTATTTGAAGGGCTGCCATGGGGAAAGAGGGATTGGACTTGATCTGTTTAGTCCCAAAGGGCAGAATCAGGAGCAGTTAGGGGAGCATGGCTGAGGTAGGCCTCATCATGGTGTCAGGAAAAGCTTACCAACAGAATTGTCCAAAAGAGAGGTGGGCTGTGCCAGTGTGAAGGGTTGGGGTAGTGGTAGTGAGCTTCCCCAAATTGAGACCTTCACATAAAGGCTTGTTGAACACTTGTCAGGGGTGTTGTAGATGGAGTTTTTATTTGGATTGGGCGGCTTGGATGTTGGTTGGTTGAACTAGATGATCTTCACATCTCCTTTTAATTCTGAGAGTCCGTGATTCTGTGAAATGGGTATCCCTCCAGTCAACATGTTGTAGATTTCTCATTGAATTAAAAAATGACTTAGTGGAGAAACAGGTGGAAGATGATCAGAGACTAAAAGGCTTGTGGAAAACTCTGCTTCCTGGAATGAATGGCTTCCTCAGGGCATCAAGACATTTCTTGGCTTAGGATTCTTTTTTTAATATTTATTTTCAAAATTAATTTATTTTGAATTATCAACAATCACTTGCATAAGCTTTTGAGCTTTAAATTTTTCTCCCTTTCCCTC